CATTCCTGCACAGCTGCACAAAGCTGAAACAGCAGTTTTGCAAACTCTGTAGCCATATGGAGCTTCAAGAGTGTTGCACTTTCTCCAACCTGCCTTAACTGATTATTCTGTAATTGCATGCAGACTTGTGCTTTCGTTTCTCACCTTTCCCTGAGAAACACGTTACAAACGTGCATCTCTGTCACTGTTTCCTTTTTCTTCCTGCAGGGCTCTGTTTTTTTTATTTCTGCTCTCTGACTCCTATTTACTTTGTTAGTGGCTTTGATTCATGGAGGAGTTTTTGGTGAGGAGAGTATTTCTGTTTTTCAGGACTTAAGCAAAAAAGAAAGGGGAGAGGGAGGAAGAGAAGCAGACAGGGAATCTAGAATGCATAATCACTGTCAGATCATATCCGGAATTTTTTGTTATGAAAGCATGTTGCAGTCCATGAAACTCCAAGTTTAAAAGCTTCAGATCCTTGTAATCTGCTGTTGTATAGTATAAGAGAAAATACAATATGCGTAACATCTGGTCTCTATCATGCAAGAGGTACTTTGAAATTTGTATGTTACTGCCAATTTGTGTTATTCTGTTCTTTTTGTGCATAGTGAGCGGATCAGATAAGCCTCTCGTACTAGCTGATTTGTGATTTATGTTGCACTGACACGTGCCATCTCTACTTTCCCATCTCTCGTATGGGGAGTAAATACTTGACCACTGCTTTTGGAAACACAAAAGTGGCTCCAGATTTTTAATTCCAGTTTCTTTCCAGGAATAAAATGAAGTTTATTTCATTTTGGTGTCCTGCTGTTGTTGCACTGAATGTTCTCTTACGTTTCCTAGTCATTCTGCTATTGCACATTAGCAATGCTTTATTGGTCCCCCACCTTCCCAAGTTCCTGCTGTGTAATAATTCTGGTTTTATGTGGAGTTTTTCTTGGGAGTTGTCAAAGAATAATTATGCCCCATTAACTCTACTTTGTATCATTACTAATTCACACCTATAGAGTATTTTCCAAGAAACTGATCTCGGTTGTCTCTTAATTGCGCTGTAACTGTGCTAAGGATTTGCACCCTCTAAAACTTTTCCCTTCAGTGCAAAACATAACAGAAAATCTGAACGTAGCGGTTTAATCAGATCTTATTTTGTCCCAATTTAAGCAGGTTCCAGCCGTGTTGAGTACCTCCAAATAAAATACAGATCCCGTTCCCAATGTGTCAGCGCAGCAACTTGCGTCGGTAGATGACGCCGAGGTTGTTGGCTAGAGCTTGCCATTCCCGAGAACCAGACAATAGCAGTCTCCCGTCCGTTCCAGGGGCAGGAGCAAGCCCTGCTTGTTTATGCTCCGAGATCCGTCTGCTTCAAATGTGTTTAGGCTCGCTCTGGTGGACACTAACCTCGGATCAGGATCTGGAGCTAGGCTGGGCGTTGTGGGACTCTGCATACAAGGGAATCCCTTGGGCTCGAGAAAGGTGAAGCTGCTCGAAGGGAAAGTTGTGGGGAACGGTGCCGATGGAGGAAGGGGGGAGAGCTCGGTGGCAGGCGTGTGGCGAACACGGGAATGGGTGGGAACAGCGTGAAGGTGTGCCGCAACGTTCGTCTGCGAGTGAGCTGGCCCCTGGCAAACACCCCCGGGAAGAGTCTCCTTTCTAGACCGCCCTCTGCACGAGTCCCTCGCCACACCAGCGACGGCTGCGTGCGGACGGGCTCTTCGTTAAGTGAGAAGTCATCTGATCCTGCCGCTGCTTTCCCGCGTAAGGGGGGCAGCGTGGTCAGGGGCCTCTTTTGAAATGAGAGCCAAAAATAAGTCCTTGGTGGAGTAGGAAAGGAGCAGCAGGAACAGACAACTGTGTTGCTGTTGTTTTGCTCGCTGCAAAATTGGTTTGGGGGGAAGAAAAATAAACGCGAGGGGGCAGAGAGGAGGGGTCCCATGCCAAAAAAAAAAAAAAAAGCAGTTTTATAACATTAAAAATGCAATAGGAGATAGACACTGGACATCTACTCGTGCCTTTGAATGGTCCCTGAAGTCTCTGGGAAAAGAGGCTGTGGTTTTCTCCAAGTGCTTAAGTGAGCTGCTGTCTAGATACTGCTGAAGAGGAAGGGTGCTCTTTGGATGGGAATCACCTTGCTTAACTTCAAAAAGTAGTTGTCTAAGGCTAAACTAGTCATCTCCACACTAACTATTGAGAAGCCTCAATGTAAATCCCTCCCAGAGGGCAGTTTACCCCTTTGATCTTGGATGTCCGTCTTAGGCTGACGTGTAGAACTGCCTCTCTGTCTCCACCGGTGGGAAGAGCTGAGATGGCCAGCTCAGACCTGGACGACTCGCTGCAGCTATCTGAAAGTTCAGTAGGATCAGGTCCTCCTTTGAAAACCAGAAATGCCAGTCAAAGTATGCGTTCACGCAGTGTGAAGCTTTGTAAGCAGTTTGCAATCTGTATTAGGTTTTGAGATTGTAGCAAGAACGTTAAAAGCTGCTTTCCTAAACTCGGCATAGGGATAGGTTTGTTCCCTGTGCAAGGCAAATAATAAGCAGTTACATCCAGGTGCAACCTCAAGTTTGCTCCCCTCTACCTGTGAACAAAATCACCCCAAAGGATGTAGCAGCTGTAATCCGCTTAGCTAAAGAACTTGTGTCTGCCTAGCAGAAGAGCATTTATCCAACCCCCAGCCTTGAGTATATATACTGGGCATATATATATTTTTTTAACACAATCTGGTGAAGTGCTGCTGATTCTCCATTCAGATAACAAATGTTTTCAACTAAGCATAAAAGAAAAAATACTGCTGGTGGCAACTCTCTTTCACTGGAAAAAAATCATGGACCCCTGGCGTAGAAACAGTTTCTGCACAGAAAACATGACACTATTTACAAAAAACTATGTCTAATATCCTTTTCCAGCTCGGAAAGAGGAGTTTATTTTAATACATCCTTTTTTAATTGCTATGAGCTGGACTTGTAAATATTGTAAGTGGTTGAGTAATAGTCCTCTGTTAACGGACCAAATGAAGGGATGTTTTTTCCACTCTTGGAGCCCTAACATATTCCCACAGCTCTGACAGGGGGATGCTGCAGACCAGATACTAAACCAAAACAAAAGCCTAATAATTAAATTTTAATCTGAGGGGAAGCATGCGTGTGGATGGGAGAGAGAGGCCACTGAATGAAGCGTACAGGACATCGTGCAACGGCTCAGCGGCTGCCCGAGGCGCTGGGATGTGCGAGGACTCCCTATCGCTTAGGGAGACCACGGTGTCTCCCACGGGGACCAGTCCCCTTCCAGTAAAACATTTCTTTCAGCCAAGAGGGACAGGCTGTCTCCACTGCGGCTCGGGGTTAGAGAATTAATTTCATCTAACGGGTTAGCACAGAACAGAGCCTGGAGAGCCGTGTCACCTTAATTCTGTATGTGAATCACATGTTTTTTTAACAGCAACCTTCTGCATAGCAGCATGGTGTGCCTGAACTAATAAATAGTCATAAAGTTTTGTAAGATCATATTAGTCATTAATTTCTGCATATGAACCAATAAGATTTTGGGGAAGGCTGGATCGCACAGAGCTTGCGTGCTGCATGATTTGGCAGAGTGCTAGCAGGCACTTCTTAATGTTGCTTGACGTTCATTTTCCGAAGTCAGGTACATACACAAAAGCACTGTTTTTTCTCTTTGCAAATGGTTTTGTCTTAAAGCAGGAGTAGTTTGCATTGGAAACAATTTCCTGATGCAGTTTGGATTTCCTGAATAATCCTTTGCCCAGTGGGATGGTATAGCGGGATCCTAGAAAAGCTTAACTAGTCTTACAGTGATATTACTAAGAGTTAAACATATCCTTTAATCTTTACAAGGCAGATGTTCAAGTTGGAAGATAGCCTACAAGCACAAAATTCAAAAAATTAGTTTAAAGGGTCAGTATGAGGAGGACTGACTGCTCTGCCAATGTGACTTTTGTGTTCGTGTTGCTGTTCAGGTAATCAATATGCAGGGGTCTGGTGAGAAGGGTTGTATGAAAGGGCTCGCGCACAGTGAGCGTGGAGAACAAGCTGTTTCAGATGGGAGGAGGAGCAGGTCTCGGAGGAAGAATTTAATTGCAAAAGACCAATTGTAAAAGTTAAAAGCAGTGACCTTAATGTTGTTTCATCTTTTCCAGGAATGCTGGTGGTGATTGTCTTGCTGCTGATTGCGATTGCTGTGGTTGCCGTCTGGCCAACAAAATAAAGCAAATATGGGGCGCACTCAAGCTGCTGTTCAACAGCTGAGCGTGGAAGGCTCCAGAGAAGAGACCAACTTTGTGCAAAGACCTTCCGTGTTTTAAATAAACTCACCAGTATTAGAATGAAGCTGTGTCCCACAGACATCCGTTCCCTCATTCAGGGCACAGCTGAAGAGTGCTGCATGATTGCAGGGGTTGAACTTGAGGAGGACTCTCTTCCTACCTTGATTTAGTATTTCAGGAGGATGCAGCTGGCTGTAAAGTAGATACACTTCTCAGTGCATCCGCATCTAAGCAAGCGATCGTTATTGGTGTGCTGTCTGCCTGGCCCACTCTTTCTTCTGTTGAACGGTCGGTTGTTTTGAGGGTTTTAAATACTGTCGGCTGTTAATGCGGGGGTTTGGGAGTACATAAGTGGAGTTCCTGTGCTTTCTGACATCTGTCTTTGGAACGAAGATGCTTACATTTCTTGAGGAATGAATGTTTTGGGCAGTGCATTTGACTTGACTCCTTCAAGATGGAAATCCAGAGAGCACACGTAGCCCTAAAGTGAAAAGCCTGATGACCAGAGTATAGGAACCCAGATGAATTGCACAAAAACAGTCACGAATGAGTCAGTCTTTGGCTGTTGTGGGGAAATTATCAGTGTTGATCTCCGCAGATAGAAATGTAAACAGCGTTGGGTCTTAAACACAGCCAGGTGCATAAGAGCGGAAAGCGTTGCCCAAAATGCGCTCATAAGGCAGGAGTGCCTCTCTGCGTGCTCTGCCTTGCTCTGGGGGAGGCTTTCCCAGCCAGCTAACCGCAGGAGATGCGCTACTATTGATGTGCTAATCTCGGTGATCGAGATCTGCCTCTTTCTTTTATAACTTTTCACAAACTGTTAAAACCAAAAGGAAGATTTAACTATTGAAAAGCTAACAAAAAAGAAGCATCAAACGCTAACTTCTGGCCAGAAAAAATCATTATTTTGTTACATGCGCCAATTTGATTGTCAGAATTGATAGAGCAAGCAATAACAACATTGAATAAAAGCTGAACCGTTTATATACAATTGGTTTGTATGATTTTTGTTGTTTCCTGTTGTCTCATGTGGTATGTTAATGATCTTTAATGCCTCCATATTCTATGAAGTGATTTTGGGAAAAGAAAAAAATGGTTCCTATCAGACCTCCTGTGTATCCTGACATCTCCTTCCTTATGTGTTTGTAATGATTGCCAGCCCTGGGCTAGTCCTTACCCGTGGTGGCAGAGTATGTTTTTCTAGAGCTCTGAATTGGCTTTTGGCACTAGTTATTCTCTCCCTCCCCTCCACAGCTGGTGATGGCAACACATGTCTTGGGGGTACAGGGTGGTCTGCGAGCTGGGAAACCCAGGCTTTTTTGGCTCTGTTGAGTGACACTAGCTAAGTCATTTTGCTCTCCTGTGCTCAGTTTCCCCATCTGTCGATTGAGACTTTCAGGTACAGACCTCCTCTGTAATGTACTTGGAGATCTGCAGGTCGGAGTACAAATTTTTTCTTGTTGAGCTTCTCCTTGGAGCCTAGCACAAGCGTTGGGTGGAGATGAGATTTTAACTCAGTTGCTGCAGGATCTGAGGTGGAAACGACTGTGAGTTATGATGAGAGGGGCTTGAGTTTTGCAAGATGAAGGTGCTTCTAGAGGCTGGATGTACCAGGACCCTGCCAGACAAGGTGGGGATTCAATCATTAAGGATAGGAACCATACCCCAGTGCTGAAAAGCACCATCACGTTATCCTTTCCCTTCTGTGTGCTCCTAGGAGAGGCACAAGGTAGGTGAAAGGGGGCTTGGTGGAGTAATCTCAGCTAACCAAATCATCAAGCAAGTTTTTAACATGCCAAGTAAAAGAGAAAAAGCCTCGTGAATTGCAGCAGTACCTCATGGCAATGGGTGGTGGGCTTCAAACCGTGCTCTGGTCTAGGGCCCAATCCAGCCTTTTGCTGCTCAGTACCTAAGTGAGCAGCTGGAGGGGAGACCAGCACCTCTAGAGGGGATTTGAAATCGGAGGACCAGGCTGATTGCACGCTACTGACTTCAGCATCCGTATTTGGTGTTTAAAGGTGGGAAATCTGGGCTTGTGCTTTTTGGTAGATAGCCAGATACCACATTCCTGC